GTCCCAAGGCTGGTCTTGTGTAGCTTGCTAAAGGTTCTCAGGCTTAACATTCCATCTGTGAAGAGAACTGCCAGGGTCAAATACTCCAATCATCAGTCAAATAAAGCACATTAAATGAGTGAAAAAGGAGAGTGAGAGTTTTATAAAAGAGAACATAAAGCTTCAATACTTGTCTCAGTCTATAATTTTAGCAATCGCTCCCCATGAGTACATCAGGTTATGCTAACCTCAGAATCCCATTGCTTTTGGAAGCGTCCAGTTTTTACACCTAGTGACCTCTTCTTTTCACAATATATCATTCTTCATCCTCCTCGCCTCTTCCTTATCTTCCCCCTTCCTGCTTTCTCTTCTTCTAAGTAGTACAAAGTTTATGAATGTATATGTAGGGTAAAATGATGTTACTCAATATATTCCTATGGGATTAATGCTTTCAGAGACTTTCTTTCTGAAAATTAATATCATTTCTGAGACTGTAAAAAGACAAACTCTTTTCTAAGACCTCAAGAGAACAATAAAAAGCAAGCTTGTATTTTGAGTTGGGACAAAATTCTACAAAGATGTATATTGCAGATGTCAAATCCAATATTTTGCTCCTGATAAGTATGTAGGACTCCCAGGAGCCTGTCTTGTAGGAGGAAAGAATAACAGGCTTAAGTCCCATGATGCAAATGTGAGAAAAGAATTTTGCCCATAATTTTAGCTTAACATTTGGAGAAGGAAGTTTCAATTTAATCTTAGAAAGTGGATTCTGTCTGTTCTCCTTTCACAAAACAGCAGTACCATTATGAATTACATTTGACTTCATAATGTCCACAATGAAGTTTTTTTTTGCTTTTGATATGTGCAAATAAAAACAAAGGAGATACTTTGCATTTTAGCACATTTGAATCTTTTACTCCTAAGGGACAGTTAATGCCCTTTTACAGACAAAGTGTGGCCACAATTCATGGGTGTAAAATGTATTCTAATTCTCACCATCAACACATTCTTTGATGGAATGGTCTTGACTGCATGAATTCGCCAGATTATGAAATATTAAGGCTATCTTTGTTCATATATTTCTTAAAAAAAGAATATCAAACTACTTCAAAAAATGGCCCAGAATTGATTCATCCCAGAATGACATCAGGAGGCATTTGACCCTTGCCGTCATGGTTTCTGATGTCAGAATCTTCAATGAAAGTATTCCTTTGTAAATCTGCAGTCCATCTATTACCCATAGTATTTGGATGAGTCAAATGGCTTGTTTATGACATGTCTAATGTTTTGTGAATCCTGCCTCCTGATTCACTTCAAGTACTTTATAATTATATTCCTTGAAAACAGATGCTTTTAATATTCAGCTTGAGTGTTTTAGAAGCTATACCAATATTTTGTTTGTGGTATTTTCTGATGCTCACAGCCAAAATATGCTAGTCAACTTCTCAGAAGATCATTTTATTATGCGAGAACCTGGGGCAGTTCAGCTTCTGAAGATTTTCCTCCAAAGTGAGATATCTAAACTCTATTGCTCTATGGCAGAGGATCAGCTCCCAGCATTTTATTTCTTTGAATAAAAATTATGATAAGATTTTTGTCAGATACTGACAAGCAATTTCAGAAAAATGATAATGTGACTCTTGTCCTGGTTTCCCCTTCCTTCTGTTGGGCTGAAGAGTTTTCCTCAAGCCTTCTCAGGAAGAAGGCCCAATTAAAACCACTCATTCTTGTGCCAAAAAAACCTACACAATGATTTGAAAAAACACCCCTAATTTGAAGCTGTTAATACAACTGTAATTTTATTTCTTGAACATTGCCTCTTGTAGGGTACTGCCAATCTATGAAAACAAACCAGTAATAGCACCATTTGAAAACCACCCAGGGTCAATTGTCCTCTTTTCTTTTTTCTAAATAACCTATTAAAAGACTCCTAGCAGCTATAACAATAACTAAAGAACTAGCAGTGCCTATTATGCCTGGGTAGTAGTAGTGGTAGCACAGCACCAGTCCCAGAAATACTCCAAACTAATAGTCTAGCAATTTTTCATGCCCAGGGTACTCAATCTGATAAACAGTTTGGTTGTTCGTAGATGAAGAAGTGAAAGGTTTTCATATCTATGATTTTTCAGGATGCAAAATTTTAAAGACCATTTCTTTCTACTATCATGAGATGCATAATTTTAATATTTGATTTCTGGAATATTTTTGGCCTTGACATAGGACATACTGTGTGGATGTGTGCTGAAACTGAACTTAAGAGTGAGCTGTGCAAAGTTTGGAAATATATTGGCAAGGCACATATACATTTGTATACTCACTTGTGAGTTACCACAATTTGTAGGTACTGTTGGTTGGAAAACAATAATGCTTCTAGTAAATAAAACAACTATTTTTTCCTCTCCTTTCTGGACCAGTGTCTCTATCTGCTGATTTGGCTGTTTATATTGCTTAGGTGTTATATTTTATGCTCTGATTACATTCTGTAGTATGCTTTTCTTTGGTTATTAATGTGAATATCTGATGTATGTTAGAAATTTTTTGAGGAAAGGAACAATGCCATGTGTTTCTCAGGTACTCTTTAATATTTGATATATTACAAGGCACATAGTAGATACTAAATAAATACTTAATAAATAAGTTAATTAATTCCATATTTCTAAGGTTTTACATATTAATGTCTCTGCACAAGATTTTACAATTTAGCTATTCTTGGTACATAATCTAATATTACCATCTGTCTTTTCAGGGCATTATTACAGAAAAATGTATTGTCTAGAATAGTTGGGCTATGCATTATTCTGTTTAATCAAGTATTCTAATAAAGATTTATTCTGAATATCATTAATTGATTAATAATTTTCAAGAAAACTTTCTGCTATAATATGTATTTTAATGCTAAACCTAAATTAAACAAAGTTAAACCTTAATGACTCAATAGACACCTCTTGGGTCTAGGTTAATCAAACCATTAAAAGTAAGAAATATCTGTTGATAGAGATTTTAATTGTCAAATGATGAGTAGGTAAGCTGCTAATTGTGAATTGATTTAAAAAGCCATTAAGTTATATGGAAGAGAAAACATCCAGAGGAATGTGGCTGCATATTTCTGTTTATGGATGAATCTATTCTGTAAAGTATTCTTAAAACTCAGAATGTCAAAATGACACTCATCTTCAATATTGTTCAAGAGTAATTAAGTAGCTCAAATTAAGAAGTTGCCTTGTTCCATAATGGACAGTAAACCTTTTTGTTGGTTTGTTTCTTTTCACATCTCCCTTTATTTTGCACACCATATAATTCACCCATAATTTCTGCTCCATGCTTCAGAAGAAAAGGTGAAGGGTGGAAAAATGTTATCGTCTACTAACTTAGTTTCCAGGGTCAGACAGTAATCCCTCTCCTCTCAAGCTTCAAAAGAGCTTCCATGTAAAGGTATGCATTCCCATAGAGCCTGCTGCCCTCTAATATAGCTCACCCTCTTCAGAAGGAGCTACCTGCATCCCCTAAACATTATCTCTCCCATCCACATTCAAATGTTCCTTAGTCTCTTAACTGACAAGGGAGAATCAAACTGAGTTGAGAATTTGTCCAACAGGACTACAAATTATCTTCAATATCTTTTTCTGACCATCCACCTTACTCCTAAGGGAACCCTTTATGAATGAAATTATCCCAGGAATTTCTATCTCTGAAAGTGGAAATAACAGGAGGAGTATTACAATGCAGACATACGTAGTTATTATTTGAAACATTGGCAGGCTAAGTCAAGGGTTTTTTTTCTTTAAAGCATAGAGGGAGATGGATGTGTAATCTTATTCTGTCAAGAATGCTGAAGATTTTCATACATCACTGTGTTTCAAAATAAATTACGTGCATAGTAGTGCTACATTAAACCAACATTCAGCACTGAATGTTTCTTCACCGTTGCAATGCTTTTTTATCTCTTGAAATAAGAAACACATTTAACTTGGTTTCTATGATCATCTTGAAAATAATGCTCTCTTGTTTTGGCATAAAGTAGAAACACATATTTTTAATCAAGAAGCATGCTTTTCATTGAGAAAGGGGGAGAGCCAGCACCTCGTACTAACTTTAAAGTGGTTTTATAGAGTTGTGGAGGGTGGACATGGCCCACTTCATTCGTTGGTTAACATGCTCACTGCTGACATCAGGGCTGGCTTCAGAGGAATATTACTGAGTGAGGTTTCACTCACTTCTGTCAAGTCTTCTCTCCCACCTCAGGATGAAAAAAGGGAAATGTCATTTCTTTTAAGCTTGGATGCCATGTTCAGACTTTTCCCACAAGCTTTATTTTAGACTTTTACCTCCTGCACTGCTAATGGGAAATTGCCAGTAGTGTTGACTCTCTCTCCTACCCCATCAAATTTTCTTTTTTAGCTAAATGTGTACAAAAAGTTTTATTGAAACATGCCAAGTCACAGCTCGGTATTCCCTGATACTACACAAAATGAGTTGTAATAAAAATAGCACTGAAAATCTGAAATTACTGAATGCACCCATTTCTGTAGTTAAATACCATGAAAGACAGAAGGGAATTTACAATATGCTTCAAAGGGGGGGAAAAACACCTCTTCTCAGTCTAATAAAACTTAGTAGCTCGGGGTCACTTCCTAATAGGTGCCATTTCCTCTATTTTAATAAAGGTATTTTAGCACCTGAATTCTATGCCAGATACCATTGTCATTTTTTCCAGTGACTGGCTCAACTAAATGCTAGTGGGGGCCAGACACTCTTCAAACACTGCTGCTTAATGCCAAACAAAACTAACATGCATATGGAAGAAGCCAGGAAAAGCAGTAACCTCCCTAATTATAGCCAAAGGCTCAGAAGTCCAGAGACCATACAGGAACCTCTAGCTTCTGGGGTGGACAGGGGTCAGGAAGCTCCTCCACCACGGATCCCTGAATTGGCAGCTATCCTTCCCCACCCCATCAACACACAGTCATTTTTTGCCTGCCAAATCCTTGTCCAACCCCAATTCAAATCTATTTATACTCGCCTTTCCTATTTCTGGGCTCAGATGTTAGCCCATACGGTGTGTTGACCGGCACTAAATGTTACTGTGTGAGACCAGCGTTTGCCAGCTTCCTTGGTTGCTGACAGCAGGGAGACAAAAGTTCTGAATATTCGGAGGGACCTTAATCTTCTTAGCATAATCCTGGCCTCAAAGTGGTGGTAAGGTTCAACTTAAAAGCACCAGTCTCCTGAAATGGAAGAATTTAAGAGGTTAAGAGGTGATGCCAGCTGGACTCCTTCCGCCACAGTGATGGATGCCCAGCAGTGGTTCTTAAACTGTGGTTGATGCAAAAGTCACCTGAGGAATGTGTCAGTGGTGCAGGTACCGGGCCTGCCTACAGAGAATCTGATTCAGTCAGACTGGGACGGGCCTAGGAATTTGTTTTGAGTAAGCACTACAGGGGATGGTGATGCAGGTGGTCTGAGGCTCACACTTTGAGAAGCAATCCCAGGTCTACACTGCTTTCCCCCAAAATGCCAGGCCCTGTTTCAAGCGTAAGGGGATTAGCAACCCAATTTAAACACCTTAGTGATGGAGTGCTGCTTTAATTCAGATTTATTTAAAGCTTTGGAACACTAAACTTTGTTGTAGAAGCTTTATTTAAAATTCTGAGGTAGAATAACCTTCTTTTCTGAGTTCAATTTTAACAAGGAAGGCTATTTGAAGACTGCGGTCCTCGGTTTGTGAGGTCTGAGCATAAAAAGAAAATAAAACCCTACAAGTTGGACCTTCTTATGTAAAACTAGACCTCATTCTTTTTAAAAGGTGTGACCTTGGATCATTAAAATTTTTCTGAAGAGAAGAAATCTGGGATAGATAGCTTTCCTGATAAAATGTGCAGTTGAAATTGTAAGCAGCTTATGTGGTGCTCTATCCTTTACGCTGTTTAAGGGAGCACTTAAATGAAAAGGAATGTTTTAAAGTTAACTCAGCTGAATTCTATGTAGAACAGAATAAGCAATCCCCAGGGTGCACAGCTTTTGATGTGTTCTTTTGCTTCACTATTTATGGATAACTTAAGAAAACAGTGCCACCTTCCATTTTGAGGGGAGTGGAGTAGGTGGGCGATTCTGTGCTGTGCAACCATAGAACAAAAGACATAGCACATTTAAATGAAAATAAAATAAGCAAGTATTATTCATACAACAGTGCCAAAAAGAGTGAGCTCTTTGTTCTAGTCATCAGAGTTTGTGGGTCTGGGTTTTCAGGGCAGAAAAACACATAAGGAAACACTTTTTTTTTTTTTTTTTTTTTTTTTTAAGAGGTAAATGAGTAAATAGAGGGGAAGACATTTGAGGATATGAACAGGGCAAATAGTAATAAGATGTTTAAAAAATCTTGTATTTGTATTAACAGTGAAACTTAATGATTGCTTTAGGAACTTCTGTGAGGATGAAAGACTAAGTAGGATTAAGCGAAATTGTTTCTTTCAGAGAAAATAAGCACGATAGTAAATAAGGTATAAACTCACATGATGTGAATTTTCTTTTGTGGATATATGTAAAATATTAGACAGCTCTTAAGCAATTGGACATTACAGGAAAAAGACTTTTTAATATTAAAAAATAGTCAAATATCTTTGCCAATCCATAGCTCTTTGTATAGTTTCCTCTTCTTATTCTTTAAATACTCATTGGATTTATAGAACAATGGACGGTACCAATCTATCAATACATCTATTACCCTGTGTGATGAAATTTGGTCAGAAATGAAGGTATATCTGGGAAAAGTGAGCTGTTAGATAACCAAAAAATGTTAGATAAAACAACAGCACATTAGCAATATAAATATTAAATCTTTTTTTAGGATAGTAATAGTGATTTAAGATTTCTGAATATCTTTATTAACAGAAATTCCCCCCCCCCTTCCCACCACAGGGTGTTGAAAGACATGAAAATGAATGACCCCTAAATTTCACAGTACTCTCTAAGAAATATTTTTGGATGATACACTGTTAAAAATGATAAGAGCTTTTTATACTTGATTATAATCAAAATCAAACTCATTTCCTTCATGCAATGTTAGCCTATATTTCTAAAGGCAATATGAACATAATTGCTAATGGAGTTTGTCCATCAATTTGTAGTTGTCAATAAGATTTCCATTTTGATAGGGAATTCATAAACTCAACAGTTCCTAGTCATTGCAGTGATGTATGTAGCACCTGGCATGCAGTATGCTCACAGTAATGAGCCCATTCTGCAACTTACTCTATCAGAACTCTGCTATGGGCTATCACAGATATATAAAATATTTAAAGACACTTATTTTCCCCTCCATTTAGTGTGTATTATAAAATAGTTGGATACTCTACTAAAAGCATATCTCTCTGCCTTCATAAAGAGTTCTGGAAAGAAAGCAAAAGACATTTAAAGCATCAAAGAGGCTGATGAATAGGGATGCCAGGATATTCAAATACATTTAGAGACAGTATTGTCAAGCTTGTTTTCTGAGCCATGATACTAAAGATAGTAGGAGCCAGCAAAGAAAAGAACTCTGTAGAAATGCAAATCTCTTCAATGTTGAATCTATTAATCCATCGCACACTTTCTTCTGAATCATACTTACTCAGATGTACAGGCAACAAAAAGTATTTAGAATATTTGCATAATTTCAAACACCCAGTTCATAAATTATTTATTGGTTGTGGTCAAATGAATGTTAGCTATTTCATAATTATCTTTTGTGCAAAAGGTTGCATGGTTTACAAAAATATTTCAATGGCAATTGAATATCTCTACTTGCCTAAACAGTGCAAAAAAATAAATGGTACTTAATTATGTAGCACTGATGTACATTTTTCTCATGTTCAAAAACTCTGAGAAAAATTACACTTAATTCGTACATGTATTTTAAATGAACATCAGGTATTTACACTAAAAAATCCATAAACTACATTTTAGGATTAGACCAAAGCATTAACAAATAACATGACAATATGTGATATAAGTCAAATAATCAGGCAACTATATGTCCTAAGACTCAGAGTCACAAATTCATAAATCCATAGTACGAGAAGTGGCTTCAGGAATCACTGGTTTGACATCTCACTTTGAAAGCTGAGAAAATCATGACCATGGAATTTTATTCCCTTACCTGTGATTCAAGTGCCAGGACTGTAACTATGGTTCTTGATCTAAACCATTTTTTCCTGCACCACATGGGCTCTATGATTTTAAAAATCATATTCCTTTGTATTATAATGATTAAAACCTTAGGACATTCTTGAAGGCAAAATGGCCACATTTGAATTTGCTAGATCAATCACAAAGACCAATATGCTAAAGCCAAGGGGTAGGTGGTACACCTTAAAGAAAGGATCTGTAAACGCAGGTTGTATCCATAGAAGTTTGATTCAGAGAAAGACAACAATTCAAAACCAAAATCAAAATGAATCTTTTGAAGGATATAATTTATATTATGTGACTAGTGGGCAGGTATTTCCTCTTTGGATGCTGGATTTTGGAGCTTTGTAAATTTTGCTTAAAAATAAGATATACTTCATGCTGAGAGAAGGAGAGATGGCAAGCTCTTACTTATGCAGCAAACTTTAAAAATGCATTCAGCACTATGCTAGGTATGTGTATTAGTGGGCTAGGGCTGCCACACAAAATACCACAGACTGGGTGGCTTAAGTGACAGAATTTATTATCACACAGTTCTGGAGTTAGGAAGTACAAGATCAAGGTATCAGAAAATTTGGTTTCTGATGAGGTCTGTCTTTTCGGCTTGCAGATGAGGTCTGTCTGTTTGGCTTGTCTTTTCTCACTGTGTCCTTACATGACCTTTTCCTCTTTTCCATTAGAGACTAGAAATCTCTAGTGTCTTTTTCTCTTCTTATAAGGACACCAGTCCTACTGGATTAGGGCCCCATTATTATGATTTCATTTAACCTTAATTATCTCCTTAAATGCCCTATCTCCAAATATAGGCACATAGAGGTGAGGGCTTCCACGTATGAATTTTGATGGAGGGGGACAATTTAATTCGTAAGAGTATGGAGTATAAAGATGCAGACATCATGGATCTGGATGTCACAGTTTGATTATCAAGGTTTATATTTTCACCCTGTTGAGGAAAAAATAACAAATATTTTGGTAACATACAACAACAAACATTTACCTCTGTCTAATGTGTCTACAGGTCAGTTGGGACAGGTGTGCTTTACACATTTGATTTTAAAGAAGGATCAGGAATAGAGTTAGGTAGGAGAGGTACCTAGGACACAAAATTTGTTGTTTGTACAATGTGTTGGTACAATGAGATGTCTCAGATGTGGTGCCTTATGTGTAGCTTCTTAGATACTGTTCCTCAGGCATGACTTCTTGGGTAGGTTATTTGCTCCACACATGCTTGATGCACAATGGGACAGGATAAGCACAGTAGAGTTCTCATTTAAAAAGACGCAGAATTGAAGGCACATAATAGTATTCTTCATGGCAATACATTTTACCAATCGTATTGGGTAAGTGTCTTCAGTTTCCCGTGTTCTGGGACTTTGCCTTGATTAAAATTCAATTATGCATCTTGGTCATGGTTCTCCTACCCATTACTCATGGCTGCACACTTTTGACTCTTAGCTTCACCCTCTCAGCTCCTGGCTTTGCTTTCTGACTTATCTTTCCTTATCCATGAGGAATGGCATATATTTGCAGCTGAAAAAAATTTCCAACCTGTTTCCTGTCTGCAGAAAGCTGGGGGCCCGGGTACATCTTTTAACTTTAAACTATTTCTATCAAAAACTGATTCAACTCCTTTGAATAACTTATGGGTTTTCTATACATCAAACCATAATTTACTAAATTAGGTTGAAGCTACACTCATACATCTCTTCAAGACCAGCTCATCTCTACTTGAGGCTGCCTGCTATGGGACAACACCCTGAGAATTCTAAGATGCCATATAGGCCTTTAAATCATTACCTTAAATCTCTTGAGGTTTCAACAGAGGATATTATATCTTCATCTTTAATTTGATCTTGACCCCAAAGTCATGTTTTTTTGGTGGCACTCTGGATTTTTTTTTCTGCCCTGAAATAGTTTCTTTTTTTTTTTTTTTCTGCCTAAAGAAGCTGAAAATAAGAAAGATTTTCATTTTTTCACCCACGGAGTTCTGGATTGGAAATATCCTCTCTAAATTATGCTTGGAAATCGACCAATTCTATCTTTAGTTCAACTATCTTTTACAATACCTTATCAGAAGGGGCTAAAGGAATCAATTGACATATTCAGCATTCTACCTGGAAATATCCATACGTTTCTTAAGCATATTTTCTATCTTCAGAGTTATCACAGGCAACAATCTCATTCGTCTTTCCACTAACAAAAGGTTGTTCTTTCTACAAGCTTCATCCACACTTTCTTAACTGGTTTTCAAGCCTCTACCAAACAATCTCTTTGCCGCCTTCAGGCCTCTACTCATTTGCTGTTCCCAAGGTTAATGCCACGTGTTGTAGTTTTTGTTATATAGAATCCCATTTCTGGCACCAATTTCTGTATCAGTTATACATTCCTGCAGAAAAAAACATCCAAACCTATAGCTTAAAAAGCAGTGTTTATTATTTCTCATTTTTTGGGGGGTAGTTCTTTTGCTTCATATGATATAACTGGGGTCACTCAAACATCTACTTTCAGATGAGAACTCAGTGCCAGAAAGTCTAAGATGGCTTCTCTTCCTTTTGGGTTTCTCACTGAGTATGTAGCCCTAGTTTCTTGAGGGTATGGTATCTGTATGGTGGCTGCCTTTCATGGGGGAGAGTTCTGAGAGGAGACATGCCAATGTACAAATGTTTATCAAGCTTTTGTTTGTATTACAGGCAGTACTGAACATCTGGAGGCCTGATTTATTGGAGATTACAAATGTACAGTATAACATAGGTGTGGAGAGGTAAGGGAATAAATATCCTCCAATCAATAATTCCATCTAACACAATTTATGAATTATGTTGGTTTTCAATAAGTTTTTTTCTGCCGTGTTCATTTTGATCATTTTACTGCTTGTTATCGGGAATTGGTCTACCTTATCAAAGAAGACAAAATTTGTACAATAATAAACCACCAGTCTGTGCTTAGAGGCAGGAAGTCTTAGGAAATCCTTTCCTCTCCTTTCTTACATTAATACAGTCAAGGCTGTCTTCTCTTAGTTGCTTTGTCAGGCAAAGGAAAATAAATGTGATGAAATGCCAGTCACTAATTTGTACTCAAGCAAAATATTTGGTTGAGAGAGAACTTAAAAATTTAACCACAACAAAACTTGTATGAGTTTTTGTCTTAAAAATAACTTAATTCTTAATGGATATCTTTGGTGTCCTCATTTCATCCCCTTGGCCACATATGCTTGTGACCACAATTGAATTTCATGGTCGGTTTCTTGTAAGCCCAGGCATAACTTCTCTCAGGATGGTGGTTTCCTATCTCAAGCACTTGGTTGGTATCTTTCAGCTTATATCCTCTGGGCTTTTTCAGCTATGCTGGCATTTCACCTATGGCCTGAAATGAACACTGCTAACAAGTGTGGGGTATTTAATAACAGAAAATATGGCTGGGCACGGTGGCTCACGCCTGTAATCCCAGCACTTTGGGAGGCCAAGTCGGGCGGATCATGAGGTCAGGAAATCGAGTCCATCCTGGCTAACACGGTGAAACCCGACTCTACTAAAAATACGAAAAATTAGCTGGGCGTGGTGGCGGTCGCCTGTAGTCCCAGCCACTCGGGAGGCTGAGGCAGGAGAATGGCGTGAACCAGGGAGGAGGAGCTTGCAGTGAGCCGAGATCACGCCACTGCACTCCAGCCTGGGCGACAGAACAAGACTCCGTCTCAAAAAAAAAAAAAAAAAAATAATAAAAAGAAAAAGGAAAATATATCGCCCCTGGGGACAAACTTTAAACAATGAGAAATAAGAACGGCCAACTCCTCTTCTTCAGGTGGACAATGTTGGAAGGCATTCTGTACGCTTCTTAGAGGTCTGAGCAGACTTGAGCCCTTACAGAAGTAAGGTCAATAATAAGCTCATACATTTGCACTTTTCCTACCCTGCCTCTCGCCACTCCTTCATTCCTGCTTACTGAGATGACCTCCAAACCAATCCACATGCTTTTACACCCTTGTCTGAGGCTCTGCTTTCATTGGAACAAAATTAAAATACTTTCCACAAATACATAAAAAGACCAATAATTGGGTGAATTTTAATCAATTTAAATTTAATTTTTAAATTTTTAAAACAAACCTGTCCTCAATTCTGTTGCTATCATTTTCATTATCATTGTAACCATTATCATCATCTTCATCACTCATGGAAAAGTAAATAAAATACGCAAAAATATTTAAAGGTCATATGTAAAGATTTTATGTCAAACTTGGAGGTTTAGCAAATGGCCTTTTATTTGGGGGAAATCAGAAAATAGAAGACCTGCATGGGACATTAGATTAAAGCTTGTGTCTGACTTTGACTGGAAGAGATTGAAAAAAGGGAAACATTGCTTACATAGAAAACATTTGCCCAATTAATTGCTGTATCTACTGATGATGTGTATTTATCTCTGATGCATATTTATCTGTTTGATCTACTGATGATCCTAGTATTGTAGGAAAAAAAAAATAGGGCAATTCAAAAAGGATATTTAGATACAATCGTTATCTAAAACTCTTAATCACAATAAATGCATTAAAAAATTTGAACTCCTAGGAGTGTAATGATAAAATACATGTTATAGAACTGTCTCCCTTTATGCTGTAGCTAATTTTTTCACTTATTTCTTACCCAGATGTTCCCAGATACATGACAAAATGTGGGCCTCTTTATAGTCTTTCTCCTGATATGATATTAAGGCAAAAACAGCCCTAACGTTGACATTATCTCTATAGTGGACTATTATTCAGGAAATGTGATTATATAATCAATGTATTACTATAAACTAACAAAGCTTCATTGTAATCTGCTTTCAGTGTCATCATAATTTCAAAATATGTTAATGAAAGGTACTGTGGTATAAATGGTTAATTTTGACCAAAAAAAATCGAAATCAACCTCTGTGCTCTAATGGGAGAAGGTAGGAATTCCCGAGTTTTTTGTTAATATGTTAAATACTACATTTCTTTTGAGCTTCCCCAGTGCTGCCTTATGGCAAATAGCTACTTGAACAGGGGTATAGTTTCTATTCCCATTAAAGAATGAGTCATATCAAAATCTAATCAAGTACGTGAAAGGTAAAAATGTCATCACACTTCTAAAATTTGCTGTCAATATTTCACACCTGTATGGAAAGCAGAAAGATGTCTAAGCAGCAGCTTGATAACATTCCAAACTGCAACCTCTAATTAACTCACCTTTTGAATTATTAGGGAGACTCCACTGTGACCCATGCAGCCTTTGGCAGGGAGCCTGACAACAAAATGCATGTTTAAAATACCAAGGAGGGGGAGAAGTGCTATATTATTTGGCACAAATATTATCATCCACCTGTGCAGAGGGAATATGCTTTTCCACTTTGCTTATGATAGATGATTTACTAGTTATATGATCTTGGCTTCATCTCCATAAATTATACTATAATCATTCAGCCTAAGGGATAGTGGTAAAACTATTGTTGATATACTCAATATGGTAGGAAAAGTTAATTAAATTAGATAAACATATTTCAATGATATTTAAGTGCTCTCAATATTCAGAGTCTGATACAATCCATGAAATTTGTATGGAAGAGTCTATAGAGCACTGAGCTTGTATTATGAGACTACAGTTTACTTGGACACATCTGGAACTTGGAACAGAGAAACACATGTCATGTAATAATTTGATAATGCAAGTATTTGAGTATTTGTCTCTTGATAAATGAATAAGGAGGTTTCACTATAAATACAGTGTGAGAAAGTGATGGTCATTAAAGTTTTATGAGGCTGATTATTTTAAACAGTTTAGAATGATAAAATCACTTACTTGAGGCAATGAACATCATGTAAGTATTTTTGTAGTATTTTTCTTCAAAAGTGACTGGAAGAGATTAAAAAAAGGGAAACATTGCTTACATAGAAAACATTTGCCCAATTAATTGCTGTATCTACTGATGATGTGTATTTATCTCTGATGCACATTTATCTGCTTGATCTACTGATGATTCTATTATTGTAGGGAAAAAAATTCGTATGAAGCCAAAAAAGAACCCGAATAGCCAAAGCAATCCTAAATAAAAAGAACAAATCTGGAGGCATCACAGATGCCTCCACCAGTAGTTATTCTTTTATTAATAAATCTATTAAAGGAAATCTAAGAGCATCTATTATATAGAGCAAATGTTTATTATGAGTGCTAGAGATTCAGTCATATACCAAATATTAATACTCTAGTAACAAAATGTTTTACTAGTATATATGAACATGATTAGAATGACAACCCCAGAGAAAACTAGCAAGGTGTTATTTTGATAGGTTTCTTTGAAAGGAGAAGGAGATGATGTAACCTAATATATTTTATAAGAAATGACACAACCTAAAACTATATATTCCTTTTTCCCTCCCACCCTGTCCCTCCCTCCCTCCCTCCCTCCCTCCCTCCCTCCCTTCCTTCCTTCCTTCCTTCCTTCCTTCCTTCCTTCCTTCCTTCCTTCCTTCCTTCCTTCCTTCCTTCCATCCTCCTCTCTTTCTCCCCTCTTCCTACCTTCCTGTCTCCCTCCATTCCTCCCTCTCTTCCTCTCTCCTTTCATGCCTTCCTCCCTTGCTCTTTTCCTCCTCTCTTCTCATCCTCCTTCCCTCTTTTCCTCCCTTCCTTCTTTTATTATATTATCTATATAGCAATGATAACTATTATTATGATCATTTCTTTTTCTTAAGATTTTCCATTTTAATTTTATTTATTTATTTTTATTTCAATAGCTTTTGGGGTACAAGTTGTTTTTTATTACATGACAAGTTACATGGTATTGAATTCTGAGATTTTAGTGTATTACTTACTCAAGTAGTGTACATGGTACCCTGTATGTAGTTTGTATCCCTCACCTCCTCCCATCCTCCCCCTTCTGAGTATTCAAAGTCCATTATACCACTCTGTATTCCTTTGCATACCCATAGCTTAACATCCACTTATAAGTGAGAATATGAGGTATTTGGTTTTCCATTCTTGAGTTACTTCACTTAGAATAATGGCTTCCAGATCTATCCACGTTCCTGCAAAAGCATTTTTTCCTTTTTATGGCTGAGTAGTATTCCATGGTGTATATATATATATATATATACCACAGTTTCTCTATCTACTCATTGGTCAGTGGGCACTTACGTTGGTTCTATATCTTTGCAATTGTGAATTGTGCTGCAATAAACATACAATGTGCATGAGTCTTTTTCATGTAATGACTTCTTTTCCTTTGGCTAGATACCCAGTAGTGGGATGGGACTGCCAAATTGAATGCTGAATTGAACAGATCTACTGTTTTTTCCTTAATGAATCTCCACACTGTTTTCCATAGAGGTTGTACTAATTAACATTTCCACCAGCAGCATATAAGTGTTAACTTTTTCCTACATCCATGCCAACATCTATTGTTTTATGACTTTTTCATAATAGCCATTCTTGCAGGAGTTAGGTAATATCTCATTGTGGTTTTAATTAGCATTTCCTTGAGGATTAGTAGGCTGTTGAGTATTTTTTTCATAAGTTTTTTGTCCATTTACATATCTTCCTTTGAGAAATGTCTACTCATGTCCTTTTCCCACTTTTTGATTGGATTATTTGTTCTTTTCTTGCTGATTTGCTTGAGTTCCTTGTAGATTCTGGATATTAGCCCTGTGTTGGATGTACAGTTCGCAAACATTTTTCTGCCATTCTGTGGGTTGTCTGTTGAGTATTTCCTTTTCTGTGCAGAAGCTTTTTCATCTAATTAGATCCCATTTATTTATTTTTGTTTTTGTTGCATTTGCCTTTGGGGTTTTAGTCATGAGTTCTTTGCCTAGGCCAATGTCTAGAAGAGATTTTCTAAGTTGTCTTCTAGAATTTTTATGTTTTTCTGTCTTAGATTTAAGCCTTTGCCCTATCTTGAGTTGATTTTTGTATAAGGTGAGAGATTGGGACCCAGTTTCATTCTTCTACATGTGACTATTCATTTTTCCCAGCAGCATCTACAAAACAGTGTCCTTTCCCCAATTTCTGTTTTTATATGCCTTGTTAGAGATCACTTGCTTGTAAATATTTGGCTTTATTTCTGGGTTCTCTCTCCTGTTCCATTGGCCTATGTGCCTATGTTTATACCAGAAGCATGCTGTTTTGGTAACTATAGGCTGGTAGCATAATTTGAAGTCCAGTAGTGTGATGCCTCCAGATTTGTTCTTTTTACTTAGGATTGGCTTTGGCTATTCGGGTTCTTTTTTGGCCTCATACGAATTTGGGGATTGTTTTTTCTAATTCTGTGAAACATGCTGTTGGTATTTTGATGGGAATTGAATTAAACATGTAGATTGCTTTTGATAGTATGGTCATTTTCACAATACTGAGTCTTCTAATCCGTGAGTATGGGATGTGTTTCTATTTACTTGTGTCATCTGTGATTTCTTTCAGCAGTGTTTTGTAGTTCTCTTTATAGAGATTTTTCACTTCTTGTTTAAGTATATTCCTAGGTATCTTATTTTTATTTTTTGCAGCTGTTGTAAAAGGGATTCATATGTCCTGCCTCCTGAAAAAAAAAATAGAAAATCCTTTTTTGGTTATATGCTGAAGGACAAAAATTGCTGAATTTGAGGGAAAGGGACAGAAATCATTTTAAAAATATAGACTGGGAGAGAGGAGTTAGGAATTTTCATTTACCCATATATGATTTCAGAATTGCAATCTTAGAGGTTTTGTTGTTGTTATTGTTTTTGTTTTTCTAGTTCAATCACAAGGTTATATAAACACTTCTGCCCTCTGTTCTGGGACTCTCTCTTAAGAGAACCCTGCTCCTCATCTATCAAATCTACAGATATGTAGTTTAAATCCATTGTTTTATAGTGAGGCTGCCTGGCTTGCTCACTTCCTGAACTATTTTTTAATTTGCTATGTTATATACTCTTCATGGTCCCAAAACACTTCATGTAGCCTATATTTCACTATTTCTTTCTCCAGAGCACTAGCAGGTATCTACCATTTCACATTGAAAAGATTGTCGCAAATTAAAAAAAAATGTCTAGTATGAACATGATCAATTAAAGAACATGATTTAGCTAATGATGTTTAAGAATATGACATCTACTTTTATGGGTAAAATCACATTATATTCCTATTAGGTCTTTCTATATTAATCTGGAATTTAAAAGCATTAGGTTTCATTGAGATTTCCTCCTTTTTAGAAGAGGATTGACTGACTTTTCCCAAAAAGCCATATTCAGTTCTAAGTCTTAGGCCTTTAAATGGCATTATACCCATGTTATGGTTTCTAAACCAAAGAATTTCTCTTTTCTGCTAACCTCTTGAGGTCACAGCAGTGGTTTGAAGTCTAAGCAGCAATTCTGTTCAAAGAGTAACTCACAGCAGGGTGTGTGCAATAAGGGTATTCGTGATTCCAGTATTCACATATATTCCACTTTACTTTTTAGAAAGTTTGGTTCTGAGGCTACTACAAAGGCAACACTCTTGAAACACGTCATTTTCTATACCTCCCTATACTGAAATCCTTATATAATGACATTGGAGCTGTATTACTCAAATTTTCATTGCCCCAATGTCATTTTCGAATACTCATTGGAGTCCCTGATCCCTCATGTGCCCTTTGCTCTAGAGTGCCTTCCATTCACCCTTGAGAAGGGGTTCAAGGGTCACTCATTGAAGGGAGCTGGAAGATGAGATATTCTTCAAACCAAGGACCATCCCTTCAACATGGACATTTTTCTGAATAGTAGGTTGAATATAATAGGAGTTGTATTTTGTAGAGTGGAGTTAAGAGCATGAATTCTGATTCCTGACTGCCTGGATTTGAGTCTTTTCTCTACCACTTACACGTTGCTTGAATTTAGGCAAATTTGTTAAACTCTTTGTACATCAGTCTCTTCATCGTCTATACTAGCATCATAAGAGTGATGTGAGATTTAAGTTAGTGTATGCAATGACCAATGTCTAACACATCACAGTGCTGTATAACTCTTATCATTATTAGCATTGTTCTCATCAGAGTATGTATCTGCCTTTCTTAGTGTTTCCCAGATATTCAATGACCATATTTGATGAAGTTTGCAAAAATCTAGGACTAGGCTTTATGCAATTGAAAAGGGAGGGGAAGAATTATTTTGTTAAGATTTCTTCTACTGCTGATGTACCAGGTCAAGAAATGGTGACATAAAGTATAGATGTTTAAAACTTAAGAAGTGTAACAAATTTATTTTTAAGTTTAGCAAACATATATTGTGTTCACTGTGTACAGGACTACTGCTGTTGCAGGGGAGGCAGACCAAGATGACTCAGATAGGAATTCTTGTCAGAGAACTTACAGAAAATAGGAAGGTATAATGTATAAAAGCAACAATAATATGAAGGGAAAATTATGAATGCCTTCAGAAATAATTCATTGTTTTAACTGTGGATTTAGAAAAGAGAGAGTGAGTAGAGGGCATGTTTGAAGTGTGGGATTTCTTGGAGGAAATGGCATTTAAGATACTCCATGAAGACTGAATACAATTCCTACATATAGAGAAAAAGAACTCTGGTCATGAGGAAGACTACTGGAATAGTGGCTGGAAATATGAACTATGTACTTAGACCATCAGCTCAGTTTGCTTGAGCCAAGAATCTCTTATGAGAACTAAGTTTGAAGTGGTAAGCCAGAATTAGATCATGAATGGATCTGAATGTTAGGCTAAAGATTTTTTGTTTTGCTTTCTTTTGTGTTTACCAACATTAAGTTGTATACAACCAAGTATGAAGCAAAGTATTACAATGAAAATTAGCACCTTTGCTTTTAAGAATCCTAAAGTCAAGAGGCAGGATTAAAAACATACACCAAATCATCCTTGGTCACTGACTCTCCCAATATCAGT